TTCTGCTCTTGGTGCTGAATTAGCCTTCACCGCCAGCTGCTCACTGTGATGTGAGCCCCTCTTAGGTATTGGAAGCATATGGGTGGGGGTGAGGGAAGAGCTGGAAATATGGAGAGAAGAGCTAGTCTTGGAAAATTCACAAAAGAGAGCAATGTTCCACAATTACTGTTGGATGGAGTGATCATCATCAAAGATTATGCATCTGATGGGGGAAAAATGAAAAAAAAAAAAGATTTTGGGAGGTCAGTTAATTAAATAAATATGATGCTATTTTTCTGGGTTTTATATATTTGTGGGGTTTGCAAGCATTTTAAAGTCTGGGATTTGCTGCAATTTAGTTTCTAATTCTTTATGAACAACCTGTTTTGTATGATTTGTACACCTTTTGTATTGGTGGGACTTTTTTTGTTTTTATTTTTTCTTTAACTGGGTCCCCTAAATTGAGCAAGCTCCCACAGATCCTGGGCCCCTGGAAGTGCTGCAGGTGGTTTGTCCAGCTTTGTGACTGGTCTGGCTTTATTTATGGTATTTTTCATTGTGCAGAGGTCATTAACTTCCTTATGATAAGATCGAATCCACCTTCATGGTCATTGTCTGGGTTACAAACTTCCTTCCAAAATAATGTGAAAAGGGATTCTTCATTTCCCCTAGGCTGTCCATGTTTTCTTCATATGTTTAACTGTTTGATCACCTGGGGCTAATGTTCATATAAAAATACTTAAGACAAATCACCCAATTTTCTGAATGTTACTTTTTTTTTTTTTAAGATTTACTTATTTGTGCATATAGAACTGGGGTACAGGCCAGAGGCGCAGGGTGGTGAGAGGCTTCACCAGAGACAGAGTGGGGAGCAGAACTGGCCGACTGTCCAGCCCTGGGCCCTTCCCGGTGGTGCAGCAGGTTAAAGCACAGCACTAAGAAGCTAAAGCCACCGAAGCATGAGTTCAATCCCCGCCCCGGAGGTGACCCACATGGAGCCGCAGACCTCTCCTGACCCGCCCGCTGCTCCCCTCAGCAGTGCACTTCATCAGTCGGCCAGTTCTGCTCCCCACTCTGTCTCTGGTGAACCTCTCATCCACCCGCGCCTCTGGCCTACACACCAGTTCTTGTATGCATAAAAAAATAGAAGTTAAAAAAAAAAAAGTCCAGGTTAGACTTTTGCACTTTTTAATAAAAAGTTTAGAAACAGCTCCCATGGTTTTAAAAAGTCCAGCATCTATGTTAATTGTAATCACATTAAATGTTGGGGTTGATTTAGGATGACTTCCATAACTTAAATCACCCCAACCACACCGAGTACACTTTTCTCATCTGAGTTCCTTTCTGGTGCCTCCGTCCCCTTCCTAGACAGCGTGCACATTTCCGGGTACAGTCATCCACAGGCTGTTTTCTCGCAGACTCTTGTAAAGTGGCTCCCCCCCTCCAGTCCACCTCCCAACCGGCTGTGCCTTCTGCACAGGGCAGCTCCTGGCTTTTTCATACTCTTATATGCACGAAGATATGAATGTATTTTTGCTGGAAACAAAAAGAATACAGTATTTGTCTCTGCTGGGGAACAAGGCTGAGTTCTTTCCTTCGGTGTAGTCTGTTCTCCGGTACGTGGACAGCAGTGGCTTATACGTTCCCTGAGCGCAATTCTCATCATCCCCTCTCTCACCCCTTCCTGACTGCCTGACTGGCCAAGCCTGGACTGGGTGGCGCATGGCTTTGCCCAAGGATGCTGGCTCAGGGTGAGCGTGGCTGAGCACGACCTCCCAGGGCTTCCCTGGGTCCCGGGTGCACGAGCCCTGGCCTGGGCCTGCCTAATGGAGCTAGTACACCCCCGCCGCTGGCAGTCCAGGAGGCCTCTCAGAGGCTTCAGCTGGAGGGAAGGGTCTTTCCAGATTGAGGTTCCCAGTGGGACGGGGTAGAACCTCCTTCAATTGCACCAGGGAGTGCCTGGTCCTGAAACTTCGCATCTGCTTCCCACATCTGCCCAGAGGCTGCTGACTTGACCTCTGCTCCTGGCACTTCTCATGCAGATACCATGGTGTGGTTCCCTTGTAGCAGTGACTGAGGTGACCTCACCCTGGAGGCATCTCCACCCCACCCTCGCCCCTTTGAGGAGAACTGGGGTGGAGAGTGCACCCAGAGTTTCTGCCAGGTTTCCCAGAAGAAATCCCCCCATGGACTTTCCCCCATGAAATCCCCCATCTGTGAAATCTGAGTCCCAGCTAGGGGAGTTTTCCCTGTCCCCCCTCACCCAGGCAGTGTGACTACGATTCCCCATCCAGGCCTCAGGCTGCCCAGTTGAGACACGTGGCCACCAGCCGCTATCCCCAGGCTTGGGCAGGGGGATTCTGTCCCAGCCAGGATGGCTGGGCTGGCAATGGCCCGTGGGACATGTGTGACTTCATGCTTTCAGAATCTCCCTGGGATTGCTTAAAAAATGAGTGCCCTGGGCCCTCCCTGGTGGCGCAGCGGGTTAAAGCACAGCACTGAGAATCTAAAGCCGCTTCTGCATGAGTTCGATTCCCGTCTGCCCCGGAGGTGACCACATGGTGCGGCAGACCTCTCCTGACTCGCCTGCTGCTCCCCTCAGCAGTGTACTTCGTTGATCTGCCTGTTCTGCTCCCCACTCTGTCTCTGGTGAAGCCTCTCACCACTCCTGAGCCTCTGGCCTGCACCCCAGTTCTGTAAGCAACAAATAAATCTTAAAAAAAAAAAAAATGAGTGCCCTGTATGGGGAGTCTTCAAAAAACTGAAAACAGGAGTGCTGTCTGACTAGTAACACCATGGTTAACGCTCACCTGAGCAACCTGACATGGACAGTCTTCTCCCTGTGTTCCAGCAGCCCGCACTGCTCCCCTTACCTCGCCCCCCAGCAGCATCAGGGCAGACATCCAGGAGCACCACTGGGGTGGCCGGAGTGGGGTAGAAGCGAGGCCTTGCATGCCTAAAGGGTGACTCCTACTCCCCAAATTACATAGTTACTTAAATAACTGACAAGTCAAGAAATAGTGAGGACAAAATCTGCCCCCTCTGCAGAGGAAGTGGGGGTGAAAGCCCTCCCCTGCCTCTGAACAGGCGCCTTCTAGCTGAGCAGTGCTGGCCTCTGCTACCCTCCCCCTCCCTCCATGGCCTCCTGGCCAGAGGCTTTCTCAGGAGCAGGAGGATGGTGGGCAGGGCACGCTGGACCCTCAGGGTCACAGTGCTGGTGTGGACTCCAGCCCCTGAAACTCCCGACCCATGCTCGTTTCCACACTTTTTTTAGTACGGTGAAGTCCATCTGCAAACTGAACTTTTTTTTTTTTTACATTTAAAAAAGTACAGGTTTATTAGGAAAAGTAAAGACGACTCTTGCACAGACACAGTGGGCAGAAAGAAACTTGCCTCTGAAGGGTCGGGCCTGTTGGCAAGAGGCCTGGGTCTGTAGAGAAGCCTTGGAATGCGAACTGCCAAGAAAGAATAATCCAGTGCCATTTAGCACGTTCTGATAGTGCCCGTCCACCTCTATTGCCTACTTTCAGATCCTTTGTATCACCCCCAAAGGAAACCCAACCCCATCAACAGTGCTCCCGTCCCCTCCTCCCAGACCAGTGACTCATTTCTAATCTTTCAGGCTCAGTGCCTGTCCCGGAAACTTCACCTAAATGCTGCCAGATGAGTGTGGTCTCTTCATCTGGCTCTTCACTCAAGGCTCACCTGCTATATGGCATGTCAGTGGTTATTCCTTTTGATAGCTGCATCGTATTCCACTGCCTGGATAGGCCACATTTGTCTCTCATCTATCTACCAGTGGTGACTTGCTGCCTTTCAGACTCCGTGGCTGTGTTGCTGTGATTGCCTGACTGCCACGCCCTGGTTCATGGTTGCTGAGCACTGCTCACTCTTGCAAAAAGAGAAGGGAGGTAGCTAAGCCAAGAGCATCTTTTTTGGTGATGAAAACGAGCCTGATTAGTGAGCATGGGGGTAAGAAATCTTGCGTCTACAGAGGCAGCTGCCATGGGGTGGGCCCAGGAGAGTCCAGGTCTCGGTTTCGGGAGCCAGAGTGTCCTGCTTGGGAACAGCCCACACACAGGGTGGCACTCGGGTCACTGGCTTATGCAGGACCAGCTGGCACTGTGGAGGGTGTGCTTGGTCCCCCACGCCCACACTGTACAGTGAGTCTATCCATGGGACAGGCAGCAGAAGCCGCCTGGGGGTGGGCAGGGCCCCCCTGTGGGCACACCTCTACGGTTCCCAGAGCCCAGGACTGTGGTCCTCCTGGGTTCTCCTGGGGGTCCCTGGGTTGTGTGCGGGGGTGGAGGGGTCCCTGTGCACTGTGCACTGTGCATGTCCTTGCCTTTTCACGGCCTGGTCGCTGGGTAAGCAGCCTGAACTTCTGCCAAGGGGGGAGGAGGAGGATGTAAAACCCCACTTCATTCTTTTTTGTGCTAGAGGCTTGGGGAGCCGGGGAGCTGGACCCCAGGGTAAGGGCAGCTTGGAGGTCCCATAACCACTTCATTCCTGGAGTCTTTGAGTTTCATCCCTGCGGGAGAAAGTCAGCCAGAGAGCCTGGCCTCGGGCAGGGCGGGGTGCGGCTGCTATTTCACGGGTGGTGGTGGGGGAGGGTCTTTCACAAGTTGTGCCTGGCTGGGATCACCCAGTCGCCTCCATTTCTCTACCAGCTTTTGACCATTGCTCAGTGAAAAGAAAACTGGCGAGGAGAGGAAAGCAACCTTGGTGTGCGTGCGTGCCTGTGTGTGCCCCTGTGTGTGTGCCCCTGTGTGTGCACGCCAGTGTGCGTGCCCGCGCGTGTGTGTGCGCGTGCCCCTGTGCGCGTGTCTCCCGTGACGTCTCACAGGCTCAGGCGCTGCTGCGTGGTGGATGACTCGCCGGCCCTCTCCCTCCGCCCGCCCGCCCGCCGCCTGCACAGGCTAATGAATCATTTCTAGCTGAGTCCCAGCGGTGCAGGCTCGCGCGCGCGCGCGCCCCCCCCGCCCCTGCGCCCCTCCCGCCCCGCCCCCGCCCCTCCTCCCGGCCCGCCTCCCCCAGTTGTGATTCCACTCGTTCCTCTGCAGTGGCCTCCGCGTGAACCTCCCGATCTGGCGCCGGCTCCCAAGGTAGGCTGAGGTTTATTTTTCCTCCTAAAAATAGCTTCCCGTCTCCCCTTCCCCTTTCTGCAGCTGGAGCTGCGGCCTGGCAGCTGGTGGCCGCAGGACCGGAAACTGCCCGCACAAAGTTTATTTCCTGGCGGCTGCAGGATGCCCTTCAGCCTGGGCAGGTAGCGGCCAGGGCGCCGCCCGGCTGGTGCGGGGCCTCGAGGAGAGGGGAGGGCCCGCCTGCGGCGCGCGAGCTCTGCTGTCCGTGCGATGGTCTGGTCGATGGATGGTCCGGTTCTGAGGAAAGGCTTCTCTCTGGGAGTGGGCGTCCCTGGCCACCCCCTCCCCCGCGCTCCCGAGGGCTTGGGGCCAGCGGTGACCTCGAGGCCCCCTGTCCTCCCCCGCAGGCGGTGGGGTTCTGGTTCAGCGGAGACCGCTTTGGGGCTTCCTGGGGAGCAGCCAGTAGGGAGAGGCGCCCCATCAGCTCGGCTTCATCTGGGACGTGGAGCAGCGAGCTGGCACCTCAGAATCTGTCAATTCATGTCCAGGACGGACTTGAATCATTTGTTTGTCCAAACAGCTGCTCTGGACAGCGCGTGTGCCGTGTGCATGTGTGTGGGTGGGCGTTGAGCGCCGGCACATGCCCCAGCTCCGTTTTCTCCTGGAAATGCAGTGTTTATATGGGGGGGGGTAGGGGGGGACTTCCATGGAGGGGAGCCCCACACTGAAGCTGAGGCCTTTGTCCAAGCAGCTGCTCCTGCCCCCAGGGACCCCCACTGTCCCCACTCTCTGCAGGGCTGGGGACAGGCTGCAGGCAGGCAAGGAACACTCCTTACCCATTGGTCTTCTTTCCTCAGGCCAAGGAGGGCAGCGTTTGGGGGCTCCAGGGGCCCCCGAGCCCTGCTGGGTCTCAGCCTGGCAGGGTTGTAGGATTTGGAGTAGGGGGCATTGGGGGGAGAGGTGAGGGCTGCCTGCATTTCCCTCACCACTCCTGTCACCAGAGGGAGACCCCGCCTGCACCAGGAGCAGCAAATGTCATGGCCAAGCTGGAGCCGGCTCTGCTGTAAGTGGGATTCATGTGGTGGGGGCGGCAGTGGGAATGCCAGCCCTGTGTGGGTGGGCATGGAGCAACCCCAGCTCCTGAGCCAGGAGTGAAGGAGGCGGGCGCTTCGCAGACTCACCTCATTTGCAGGGTGAGCATTCTGGGGGTCTTGTGAAAACAACCGCTCCCCCACCCTGACACCATCCCTCCTGCCTTCTGCCAGCTGGGCTGGGCTCTCTCAGGATCAGCTCCTGTCCTGGTCGCTGGCATTCAGGGTCTGGGTCTTGGCATAGGCTCTTGTGATGTGGGTTCAGAGATCCTGGGTGGGCTCTTTTGTGGGGGTGGCAGCAGGCCTAGGTGCCTTGTGGGGGCCGGGCTATGCCCAGAATAGGGCCACATGGCTTGTCACAGGGCATTGCATCCATCCATGGGCAATCCTGGGTGGTGGCTTCTGAGAAGATGGCAAACTGGGTCAGGAGGGTTGGCCTGGTCCCTAAGCCCAGGGAGAGTTTGATCACGGGGGCTGTCCCGACTGCCTCAGAGCAGTGTTGGGGAACCAGCCTGTGGGGCCTCACGGGGCAGCCGAGATAGAGCTTCCCATGTGGGCTGGGCCTGGTTGCAGGGAGATAAGGAGGCTGCCCTGATGCTGCCACCCCTTCCACATCTGGGGCCGGCGTTTCCAGCCTCTGGGGTGGCAGGTGAAGCATCCACACCAGCTTCAGTTCTGGGGGGCATCTCTGACCCAGCAGGCTGGGGGTTAAGAATCTGAATTCCCAGCTCCAGGGTGTGGCTAGGGGAGGGGCCCCACTTGGCACCCCAGATAGCACTACCCAGGCACTACAATGTGAGCACTGCTGGGGTGTCCTCTTCTCCGTAAGGATGTCTGACCAGAGCCCAGCCCTCTGGCCCCTTGGGTGGCAGAGGCTGCCAGCCAGGATGCAGGTGGCCGGAGGGTGTCCCAGACACTGTGTATGACCCCCCCACCACAAGGATGCAGGGGTGTGGGGCAGGGCCTTCCCCTGCCCTTCTGGGGCCACAGCAGCCACGGCTCCAGGAGGGGGATCCTAGTTCTGGGAACCTGTGGGGGGCACTGGCCCTGCTGGTCTGTGATGGGCCAGAGCAGCAGGCACCAGCTTCCGGATGATTCTGTTCTTGCCCTGGCTCCTTCTGAGTAAGATTGTCATGTGGCATGGCCCTGGCTTTTTGCTCCACCCGTTTGAAAAGCCATCTGGCCTTGTCACATCCTTTGGGAGGCCCACAGTTCTGGGGTGGGCTGCGCTAGGTGGGTGGGGGACTCGCGTCCTCCTCATCTCTGCCAGGGTGCCCTGGCGCCTGCCAGGGTGGCCCTGCTCCAGCCTGCCTGGGCCCTTGCTGCTTACCCTTCCCCCTCCCCGCTCTCCTTCCCTCCCTCCCTCCCTCCCCATCTCCCTCCCTCTCTAGGTTTTGGGAAGCCTCTAGTCTTGCCTGCTTGGAGTCAGAGCCTTTAAGATCCTGATAACACATAGCTCCCTGGTGTTCTGGGGGTGTCTGTGGTCACACTGCAAGTGTCTCCTAATCCAGCCCCACTGGGATACAAGCCCAGATGACCCCTTCAGGTTGGGACCATTGCCCCCCTCCAGGAGACTGAGAAGACTCAGGAGAAGCCGTTTCTCACGTTGCTATAAACCTGTGTCCGTAGCCTCTCCTCGAGGACCTGTCTTTCCCTGGCGCACCTGTGTATCTCTGAAGATGCTCTGGTTTTTTGCCGGGCAGCATTGGAAGCAGCACTGTTTGCATGGACGTTCAAGGGCCACTCCCTTGCCCCACTGGGACATTTCTGGACTTTTTACTGGACTTGGAACCCCATCAGGTGCAGAGGCCTGGCTTCCCAGTCAGAGCAGCTGCTCTGTGCACTGCCTGCTGAGGCAGGGGGTGCAGTCTGGAACAGCAGTGGGGTGTAGAGCCAGCCCTTGGAGTGCTAGTTCTGGCAGAGAAGGGAGGACGGCCCAAGCCTTGTCCGGCGTCTTGTCACCTGTCTGTCCATATGCCAGGCACTCGGCACAGGCTGGACCCTCAGTAAATACTCCCTTAAGGAGCGGAAACAGGGTGTGGAGTGAACCATGTGATGTCCGTGTGGACTGGACACTGGCGCGGGCCTCACAGCTCACAGGGTATTTGATGATGTCTCAAGGACAGTCTTCCCTGAGCTGGGCTCCTGGAAGGCAGTGGGGTGACATATCTCTGTACACCAGTGACGGGGCTGTCTGTTCATGAGCCATTCAACAACTACCGCGGCACACATTCTCAGTGAGCACTAGGCACATAGCAGCAGCAAGCTTGAAGGGCCCCACTCCCTTAGAGACGCCGTTTGGGGTGTGTTGGCCAACCAGCAGGCACATACGTGACCTCAACAGGAGCCCTTCAAGTGGAAGCAGGGCCACTGCAGAGGCCTTGACTGGCAGTCCGGGAGACATCCAGGAGGAGGTGATGTTTATGCTGAGCTGTGGGTGATGAGAAGGACCCTGAGCAGACAGCAGGGCAGAGGCCCCGATGTTTATGGGGCGGAGGCCCGCTGGGATGGCGGGTGTGCAGACAGCGAGTGGAGCATGAGGAGCGGAGGACCCATAGCTTCTGGCACCCTCAGTACCAGCCCTGAAATCCTAGGAGCTTCTGGAAGCAGAGAGGCGGGCACTTTGTCAGCCCATCACAGGAGGGGGTTCCCCCTGGAAGGAGCCAGGGTGCCCTCGACCCTTTCTGGGGCAGCTTTTCCTGCTTGAGGTGCTGGCGGAGCTGGGCAAGACCCCCCACAGCAGACAGCTACGGGCCAGGCCAGCGTGTGCACCCTGATGACCATGCTTAGAGCTGGCGGCTGCTGCAGCTCCACAGGTGGCTTCCTCAAGGTGGGGACCATGGGCTTCCTGCTCTGAGACAAGCACAAACCCTCCTGCTACCTCGATGCCTCCAGGAGAGGCGGAGACGGGCCATATGGTCTCTGGTGCCCCCACCGGGGGTCCAGGAGGCTGGGCAGCGATGTGGCGGGGCAGGAGTGGCTGAGGGCTCAGTCTGTCTGCAGCTCGAGGGGCCAAGCCACAGAACTGCCTGCCTGGGACATGGGGCCCTGCAACCGGGTCTGTGGCTTCCCGCTCATCTAATTTTTTTTTTTTTTATTTTATAACAGTTTATTTTTACATAATTTTGTACATTTTTTTCCCCATCTCAATTGTAATCCCCACGGGTTTCCCATAACCAAGTCACCCATGTGCCATCACCATACTCCCGTGCATTTCTCTCCCCACCCCACCCCCCATTTTTGATCCCATTCCCCACTGCACCCTCACAAAATGTCTCTGGTATATGGCTGTTCATTATTCTTATTATTTTCTCGCCTGGTCCATTATACTCCTGCTATGAGCAAAACCATCCAGTATTTTTCTTTCTCTTTCTGGCTTATCTCACTAAGCATGATCTTTTCCAGCTCCATCCAAGTTGCTGCAAAAGACATGTGTTTCTCTTTTTTGGTTGCTGAGTAATATTCCATTGTATATATGTACCACATCTTTTTTATCCAGTCATCTACTTTTGGGCATTTGGGCTGCTTCCATGTTTTTCCAATTGTAAATAAAGCAGCAATAAACATGGGGGTGCAGGCCACTCATCTAATTTTTATCATGAAAGCGATGAGTTAGAGAAAGGTGGTGTCAGAAGAGCAAGAAGCAGGAAGTATGCGTTGCTTATGGTCCCGCACCAGGGAGGTCGTCAAGGACGGTGTGTTCTCCAGGCTTCCTCCACGAGGATGCTCACACAGCTCACTAGTTTGAATTGTGGCCTAAAAACTCTTAACATGACCGCGTTGGCGTGTTTCCAGGGCATGAAAACTGTGGAAATGTGTTCCAGGCAGCAATAGCTTCAAACCTGCCCCCGGGTCCCTCGGGGCTCTCCCTGCTGATCTCTGGTCTGCTGCTTCCTGGGCCCCCCTGTGCTGGCCCATTGGAGGGTCTCA